TTTTTTTTTTTTTTTTTTTTTTGTAAATGCTTACGTATTAACTTGTGGTTGTCCCCTCTATCTGTAGTAGAGGGGTTTCAGGTTCTTTGCTTCTATATTCTTACTCATGTTTCCTCTTCCACTTGGGCATTTTGGACGTTGGTCAGCTCGTAGGTTTTCTAGGACACCGGGAAACCTAGATGACCGTGTTGGGTGCAATACTAGCTGAGTTAAAGCTAGAAAGCTACACTGTCACTTTACTGAGATTTCTGAGTATACTTTTCATATTGCCTTAATGTAGCAGTAATGTGTTTATGCATTTGTTTCTTTGCACAGACATTTTGTCAAATATTAAAACTCTACTTTTTTATGGCACATATTAGCATATAAGCCTTTATTCCAAAAGGTATTTATTTTTTCACTTGTAAAAAAATAATGTTTCCACATAAAGAACTGTTATATCCTAAGAGGACTTCTGTCTTTTATATTCAGGATAATAAAGACTTTAAAGCAAATGTGGGTGTTTGTAGCATCACAGTTATTTTAATTTAAGCCAGTTTAACTTATTTAAAAGATAAGAGCATGATAATATCAATAGTTGGTATCTAATTTGGCCCTATATGGAAAATTTGAAAATGTTTCAGGTATTGGCCCTAATCGAGGAGAACATCCAGTTATTCACTCTTTTATGGTTATAGGATTGAAATGTAAGTCAAAATGGGGTAATATTTATAAGCAGATGAAAAATAAAATTGGGGAAAGGACTGGGAAGTATTGGAGAAGGAAGGAAATGTTAACGTTGGAAGTCAACACTTTAAATGCAGGTGCTGTGCTGGTTAGTTGCCTGGTCAGGGCAGGTAAGCACTTGTCTAGGTCCTGGCAGTAGTGGTCACAAGCTACTACAGAGCCTATTCTGTACAGGCTACTAGGACTATATGCTATAGGACGACCAGCCTCCTGCTGCTAGGACCTAGCTGCTCTAAGCATGCCAATGCATGCTAATTTGTACTGCTCAGGAAATGCTTTGTGGAGTAGAGAACACTGCATATAATATATGTAACCGATAATTATCTGTAGCAGTTGAAGGAAATAATTTGCTACAAAAGTTCAGTTCAGTACAAGTACAGTTATTTCAAGGAAATATGTATTTTTTAAATTGAATGACAGGGATTAGGTCTCTACTACTATATCTAAGTCAGTCTTGCATTAGTTTCTAGGAATTAACTCATTTGTTCATTCAACACATTTATTGAGCACCTAAGTTATTACTGAGCGCTAGAAATTGAACAGTGGTCAAGACACGGATGATACATGATGCCAGTATCATGTACTTGGCCGGTAACACACTATTTTCTCTATATGGAGAAGTTAAATAATCAAAATCATAGACTATTAGCACAGGGGAAATTTAGAGTGTGTAAGTTTCAAAACGCTAGCCAGACTGGCGTCTAGCCAACAAATGGCTAAGATGATATTCACCCCACTAGACCGGAGACTCCTTAAGCTCAGTGCCTAACATGAAAACCACCATATTACAAGGTGGTATAATAGAACTATTAGGAAAGTGCTATGGAGATACAGAAGATACTGATTAATTCTGCTTACAGACCAAGGGTAAGGGTACCTCACAAAGGAGCTTTGAGCTGAGCCCTGACACGCTAGTTGGATTTTGCCAGGTGGAAAAAAACCATGTATGGCACATGCAGGGCTAGAGTGCAGCTTGGTGGGGCTCGACCATCCCCTGCTGTCCATGAAGTGGTAAATTCATGGAGGACTTTGAATTTCAGGTTTAATTTGGACTTGGTTCTCCTCTGTCTTCAGAACAAGGAACTTTGGGGATAGGAGAGCAGCAATCAGATCTGGTTCTTGCCCAAAGAATTCCTACCACAGAGGAAAAGATACACAAGAGCAGGAAGAGAACAGAGAGCACTCGCTTTCCATCACCCGTAGACATGGAAAGAATGAGACAGGTCAAAGGACTTCCCAAGCATTAGTGAGACAAGTTATATAAAACTTCTCTTTCTAGCTTAGAATAGATAATCTTTAGTAGAGGAACAAACAGATGAGCCAGACATGGGAGTAAGAAGGAAATAGAATTCGGTTTTGGCCATGATGCATTTGAGATGCTTGGTCACCTGCAAACCTGGTGTCAGTTGAAAACATGACTTGAAACTTCCAGAGGATGATAAAGTAAAAGAGAAGCATTTGGTGGCTGTTACATTTAATTGACATTTGGAGCCATGACAATGTAAGAAGGCATCTATAGGAGAGCATTAAAGGGTGGAAAGAATAAAGCTGAAGATGCAACCCTGAAATGACCTATTCCTACAGTGGGCAGTGAAACCATCGAGGAGTCTGAAGAAGAACAAACGAAGGGATAAGAGAAGTCAAGAGACTGAAAGCGATGCCAGGAGACCACTTCAGAGGGCAGGGCAGCTACGTCAGGCTGCAGTAAAGTCAAAGCTGGAGTACCGAGAAGGGCCGGAAGACATGGCAAGACTGGGATGTCCTGGGTTCTAAGAAAGAGTGGGTGCATTGTGAGAAGTGGGACTGCACTGAGCTGGATGCAAATGTGAGACAAGGTTGTGGAAGTGATAAATGCGGGCCAACATGGGTTTGGTGATGAGGTGGGAGATAAATCAAGATTGTACCACAGGAGTAGGCAGGATCAAGAGAAGTGCTTCAGCCTGGCCGGCATGGCTCAGAAGTTGAGCATCAACCTGGGATCCAGGAGATCGCGGTTTGATTCCTGGTCAGGGCACATGCCCGGGTTGCGGGTTCAATCCCCAGTAGGGGCCTTCAGGAGGCAGCNCCTGGTCAGGGCACATGCCCGGGTTGCGGGTTCAATCCCCAGTAGGGGCCGTGCAGGAGGCAGCGGATCAATGACTCTAATCATTGATGTTTCTTTCTCTCTCCCTCTCCCTTCCTCTCTCTGAAATCAATAAAAATATCTTTTTTAAAAAAGAAATGCTTCAGTTTTGTATTTTCAGTGGGAGGGCATGGGTGAGCACAGAGCAGAGAGCCATGGAGAGGGTGAGTCAAGTACAGCAGAGCAGAATAAATGGGGAGCCCAAAGCTTCAAGAGGCTGTTTTGCCAAAAGGCACAATTTACGAAACTTGAAAAAAAAGCATTCTTCCATCTTTAAGGGTTATAAAAATTAGCACTGAAACCTGGAATGTTTTTTCCCCACCCTACCCCATCCCAATATGCCTACTCTCTATCCTGTTACAGATGGGAGCTCAAGTGCAATGCTGGTAAATTCTGGTATTGTCCCATACCTCTGCCATTGAAGCCCCACGACTAACCACCCTTGCATAAAATATGAGTTTTTCCAAGCAAAACTTAAGAAAGAAATACCCCGCAGGACAAGTTTGGGCAAATTTCCAAACACAAGCATGGGGGAAACTGCATGTACAAGTCACTGCAAGTATGCCTGAGGAAGGAGGCATGCAAGGAAAGCTTGGGTGGAGAGCTTGGAGTCAACCAGGCAGGCCAGAGTTCTTACAGCTTCACCAAGCAATGAGAAAAGAAGCCTAGACGGAGTTGGAGCACGGTCAGAACTTAAGACAGAATGCAGCCATTCTTGTTTTTGTCATTGCTTATCATATTTAGTGCCTTCCACAGAAATCCTAAAACATGGCAAATTACTTCTAGTCATATTTGCAGAAATCTCCTTGAAATGAGTTTGTTTAAAAGCTGCAAGATGTTAAAAAGTTAGCCCTATGTGTTTTAAAAACAAAACTGTCAGAATCACACAAATTACACAGATTTAACACACCTGCCAATTGCTTAAAGAAAAAATTCACTTTAAGCAAACGCTCAACATCTGTTGTTCATATAGCTTGTGCTAATACTAAAGGGAAAAAACCTCAAAGGTTCCAGGGAGCCTCTGTCAAGGAGAAACTACTAGTTGAAAAGAAAATCCTATAATACAAGTTTGTGAAACAAAAATATAAATAGTTCTAAGACCAAAACCAATACATGTATATGTGCATACATATGTATGTGTAT